TTTTTTTTTATGATATTTTAGTGTATAGCCCAGACTTCTCTACCCATATTGGACATTTGGGTGTAGTTCTTCAATTGCTTAGAAGCCAAGAATTGTGGATCAATGGTAAGAAGTGCAGTTTTGGAGAACCGCAACTAGAATATCTTGGACACATAATATCATCTGCATGAATCTCAGCGGACCCTGCAAAAATTTCTGCTATGACCAGTTGGCCAACACCCAAGGACACTCGCAGTTTGAGGGGATTCTTGGGTTTAACCGGATACTACCGCAGATTTGTGAGGAATTATGGGGTAATCGCCAAACCTCTCAATTGCTGAAAAAAAATAATTTTCACTAGACAGAGGAAGAACAAGCAGCGTTTGACCAGCTTAAGAGGGAGATGGAGATTCTGCCGACCTTGGCTATGCCAAATTTTGACCTACCATTTGTGATTGAGACAGACGCCTCAGGGTATGGAGTTGGGGCCGTCTTGATGCAAAAAGGCAGACCCCTGGCCTTCATTAGCCAAGCTTTATTAGATAGAAATAGGGTGAAGTCGGTCTATGAACGTGAACTTATGGCAATAGTATTTGCTGTTCAGAAATGGCGCCAATACCTGTTGGGCAACCACTTTATTATTCGAACTGATCAGAAAAGTTTGAAATTCCTGTTGGAGCAACGGGTTCTAGCTGGGGAACAGTTGAAATGGGTAACCAAGCTTATGGGCTTGGATTTTGAAATTCAGTATAAACCGGGGCTAGACAACAAGGCAGCAGATGCACTGTCTAGAGTTATGAGCTATCATGCCATATCCATGGTGACTAACACCGATCTAGTGGATGTAGCTGAGGAGGTTCTTGGGGATGAAGTGCTAAAAGGACTCATGCAGCAGGTAGTGTCACGTCCTAATTCCCATCCACAGTATGCAGTGTCCCAGGGGTGCTTATGGTATAAACAGCGGTTAGTCCTCCTTAGGGAATCTGCCCGTATTCCATTACTATTAGCAGAATTTCATGCCTCACCGTGGGGGGGCACTCTGGAGTGACAAGGACTTACAAGCGACTAGCCATGGCTTTTTATTGGGCTGGAATGAAGCGGGATGTAGAAAAATTTATCGCTGGTTGTCAGGTTTGCCAACAAAACAAACACGAATCCTTGAAACCTGCGGGGTTGCTTCAGCCCTTGCCAATTCCAATGCATGTGTGGGAAGACATCTCGATGGACTTTATTGGAGGGCTGCCCAAGGCTAAAGGAGCTGACAGCATCATGGTGGTGGTTGATAGACTAAGTAAATACGCCCATTTTATCCCCTTACTCCACCCCTATACAGTCAAACAGGTAGCTACGGTGTTTGTAAAAGAAATTGTCCGTTTGCATGGATTTCCTACATCTATCGTTTCAGATTGGGACATAATCTTCCTCAGTTCTTTTTGGAAAGAATTATTCCGTCTCTCGGGCACCAAGTTACAATTTAGCTCTGCATACCATCCTCAAACGGATGGACAAACTGAAGTCAACAATCGCACTATTGAGGCCTACTTGCGCTGTTTTGTGAGTGAACACCCGCGTCAGTGGGTTAATTGGCTGCCATGGGGTGAATTTTGGTTTAATTCTTCGTTTAATGCCTCGATTAAGATGACCCCCTTTAAGGCACTTTATGGCCGTGCTCCCCCTTTGATTATACCTTACTGTTGGGACAGCACCATGGTGGCTGAGGTGGATAAATTGCTGTTGATAAGGGATAGCATCCTGGCAGAGCTCAAACAGCACTTACTGAGGGCACAGTGGAGAATGAAAGAACAGGCGGATAAAGGGCGTCGGGAGGTAGAGTATCAAATTGGGGACATGGTGTACTTAAAAGCCAGACCGTATAGACTGAAATCATTGGCAAAAAGGGTCAATGAAAAACTGAGCCCCAGATTTTATGGCCCCTTTTTGTGTGGAAGAAAAGATAGGTGCTGTTGCTTATAAGCTATCACTGCCAGAATCATCCAGATTGCATCCTATTTTCCATGTTTCCCAGCTCAAAAGGGCTCCCCCTGCTAGCCAACCAAGTCAAGCTTTGCCTCCATTCTTAACAGAGGAATTGGAGCTTCAAGTTGAGCCCGAAGAGGTGCTGAATGCCAGGAAACTCTTGAATGGTCGCTGGGAGGTTCTAATTAAATGGCAGAACTTGCCTAAAGAAGACAGCACTTGGGAGGAGTTTGATCTGTTGCAGGCTATTTTTCCCCATTTCAACCTTGAGGACAAGGTTCCTCTCAATGGAGGGGGTATTGTTGGGTCCAAGACAATTGGGCCCTTGCTTAAGACATACCAGAGGAAGAGGGGTAAAGGAGGAATTGTGGGTAGAGAGGCTGTTAGAAAAGATTCTAACTGAATAACAAGTTTAGTGATGTGGAGGGGTGAGGATGAGGGAAGGAAAGCAATATATTGTAGATGCTAGTGAGAGGAGGGTAGGATTTATCTGGGAGGTTATTTGGGGGGTGGCTGCCGGAGGACAGCCTCATTGTTTTCTGCATTGGTCCATTAATTCCTTTCTGTTAATTCTAGTTTTTCTCTTGTAACGTCAGGGATATTCCCTGAGTTTTCATTTGCAATCCAATAGTATATTCAGTTCCTATCAGAATGCAACTCTTTTATTGACATGATTAGGAAAAGAATTTTGAATATGTTTTCCTAATTAACATGACTCAATATCTTGACACTTTGGACAAACTTGAAACCGTGACTTGAAGGTTTGGATGACCCAATCATTGATGAATGATAGTAGGAGGCTTAGCAACTAAACATGCAATTGGAGTTAGTAAGATAATGTAATCCTTGAGATTTATATCCTACTCCAATTGTTTTTCCGGGTGTATGTTCTTGAACAAAAATAGAGTTGTTAGTTAAAAGAAATGAATATTTAGAAGAACAAGCAAGTTTGCTAACAAAAGCAGAGTTGAAAGAACAACCCAAAACAAAAAGAACTAACTCTAAAGAGAGACTTGGGAGAGGGGTAGTGGTATTGATGTTAGTGACTCTAGTTTGAGAACCATTATCTAAAGTTATAGGAGGAAGAAATTCGAGAAAAGTGATATGAGAGAAAAGGCCAAGGGATGAAGATTGGAAACAATGTGCTTAGTGCAAGCGCTATTGACACCTTGAGCCTTGATGTCACATCAAGGCCAAAGACCAAAATGATGTTGTGAATTGCGCAAGCCCCAGCTCCTACCACACCTACTCATGTTGCGAGGGCAAGAATTAATGACTAGCAGCACACTAGACTCCATGGAAAGAGCAGTAGGCAGTGGTTTCACAAATGATTGAGCGGTAGACATATGTAGTAGTTGCTCAGAGACTGAATCATATGACAAAACTATTGGACTGGTAAGAGCAAGTACCACTGAATCATACAAACACATTCAAATTTCAGTGGAAGACCATGAAGAGCAAGTACCATGAAGAATTCTTTACGTTGTTGAGCATGCTTTTCTGCATCACTAATAAAAGGCATAAAAGCATTATATTCAGTCATCAAATTGTGTCAAGCTTACCTAAGTAACTCTGCATATCCATGTTCTATTTCTTTATGGAGATAAGGTTAGCGATGACTATATAGATACAGTCAATTTTATTTGAGTAGACTATTTTGGCTTTCTCCCAAACCTTAAAGCAAGTCTTAGAAGGCTGGTATTGTTTATGAAGTTTAGCATCAATAGAATACCACAAGACACTGCAAAGTGAGGTGTTAACCTGCTTCCAATGGTCATGTTTATCCACAACAATCTCCTTGTCCTATGTGGTGAGATGGTCTTGGCTGCCTTTCCCTTGCAACCAAAGTTCAATGTCTGCTGCTTAGGAGGAATAATTGCCAACTTCAGCAAGTTTCTCACATGGGATTAAAAGTAGTTGTGAAGGTCACAAAGGTGGTTTTTGAGTTAAACACCACAAACACAACATGGAGGAGAAAGAGAAGATAGAAAGGGATCAAGAACTGTACCGAGGGGGTCATCAAAGGCTTGGAAGACATCAGAAAAGTGTCAAAACAAGATTGTTGTTGGAACGAGATAAATGTGTGCTAAGAGGGGCAGCACGTGAGACGTGTGAGCATGTGTGGCGGCAGTTGGCGACGCCTCGGTTGTTGGTGGTCGCTGGAAGGAGGCACTCCTAGTCGTATCCTTAGATTGGTGGAAAAGTCAACGGCAGTGACGTGGTTATTGTAGCAACCATAAAAAAGAAAAGGCTAGATCGGAACCAAAATTGATACCATAAATGTATGAAACTTTTCTGTGTGTATTGCATTTGACTCAAAGGTCTGTATTTATGCAAGTGTACAAGGATTAATATTAAGTACAGAATATTACCTAATAAAGGTAATCCTAATATTACGTTACAATTACTGTATTTACATAATGGGTCTAATTACCATATTTACATATCAACAGATTCCTCAACTAGAATTATCATCTGCAAAGAGCTTGCACTTACGGATAATTTTTTGTATATCACTTGTAAGCACATCTAAGACTAGGTTAAACAAGCACACAAAATGTATTTGGTTTAGCTTATTTTGAAGACAAAATCACTTCTTCTTGCTTGGTTTATGAGAGAAATTTTGAAAAATAAGCAATGATATCCCAGAATTTAAGCTTTCCCAAACAAGCAATAAGTGTTAAATTTTTTAATAAATTTTGTTGTTGTCTGGTAAAAAGGGATTGAAAGAGACCCAAAAGAACTTTAGAGTAAATTAGTAAAAGAGATCTAATCTAACAATTACTAATACTTCACAGAATTTGTTTTTAACCAAGCTCAATGGCATTGTGTATTCAATGTAGCTGAACTCACCAAATATGATAAGCCTTGATTGTTGTTGTATTTATTAAAACAAACATACTTTTAAGAACACAGATTGATCTGGGTTAGATCAGTAAATCATGAGCCACAACATTACTGGTTCAATGACCAATTTAATAATAAAAAAAGTTGATTTATATTTAATGATTTCATAATATTTACCAAGTTATTATGATATCTAGGAATTATGCATTTTGTTGGATGACTACTGGGAACGCATGAATTTGAAGGTTCCTATTTATTTCTCAGCAGGTTTGAATCAGCTTGGAACTGTCTCATTGATCTTCATTTCTCTATTTTTTCATATATATAAACCATACAGAATCAATTTTGGGCAATCTTTTATCTTTACCCTTTAGAAAACAAGATTTTCTCTTATTTCCTAAGTTGTACACTATTTTTGGAAAGCTAATTATGTACAATAAATACATTAAATAAGGAATTGTATGCCGCACTGCACAGCACTCAAAGATATTTGAAAACTGCCACAACCACATGGCTCAATGGGCCCAGACTGAAGTTTCAGTAGCCCTAATTGGGGTTGCACCCATCATCCTACTAATGTAGCTAATATCCCTTTTTTAAAGATATACTTATTTATGCCAAATGTCATTGTGAAGATGACCCACAATGGTTAAGAATTTAGCCAAAATGCTCCTTATAAGACTTAGCCAATCCTCCCCTCTTGTGCTAAGTTTTGGGAGTGAGTTAGGCCTAGTCTGACTCTGTTTCTAACTTTCTAACATGATAAAAGAGCCTATCCTTCTCCAATAGATGTTCAGTCCTACAAATTCCACACACCAAATGAATAGTCTTGGGCGTCAGGGGTGTTTTAGGATGTTGCATATTGGCTAGGAATTTGGACAAGTTTTCCAAATAATAATTGGGCAATGCTCCACCCTTGAGTTAACTTTTGTAGTGAGTTAGGCCTAACCTGTTTCTAATAATCATCACTTGCTTTTTAACTTGTCACATATTCTAAAATTTTGCACCAATATTTTTCAGCAGGGGATTATCTATTTTTTAATATTTAAACATGTTTTTGTGCAATATAGGAATATCTGTGTGTAAGGTCTTGAATAATGTATTGGTAAGAACTAGTTATTTTATTACAGAAAATAGACAATTACAAAGTCCCTAATTATGGGTTGCTTACTCTCAAACTCAAAAAAACATGAAAACTAAAGATAGCAATATTCCAGAGCTTCTATATAACCCCAGTTAAAAGTGAGCTGCCCTCAGTTTGTTTGTTGGTTAGTTTGAGAGGGAGAAATGTTTGAAGTATGATAGGGTGTATAAGATTAGTTTTAGACTTGGAATAGAGATTGGAAGGGAGGTCCCACATCTTAACACACTACTCTCATGTCCAGGATTGGACATCTAGTGTGTGAAGTTTACAACACTAGACATTTGCAAGTGACCCATCGGGAATGGATATCTATAGGCAGCCTGGCATTCAAATTGGATAAGCTCTGATACCATATTAGGAAACTTGAGCTTAACTTACTTCCAAAAGCTAGCTCATAAGAAGAGGACTATCCAAGCCCTTATGAGTATTTTGACTCTTTCCTTAGCCAATGTGGAACATCTTAACAACTATTAATGCATATGGAATATTTTTCCTTGTCATCAGATTAAGATAGAGATACAGTTTAGTTATGTTATGATTCAAAGTCAATGGATTGCAAATATAGATCTTCCAAGGTTGGAATTCATGAAACTTACTTTGCCAATTCAGACTGCATAAGTTCAATTTGGTTTCAACAAACAAAAGAAGAAAATATAAAAATGGATAAGACAGAAGATTGATTAGAGCACTATAATCAAGGATGATTGATAAGCCATTAAAATCGCCACAAGAACTATTGGAGGACTCTTGATAAGATCAATAGTGGAAATAAGAACCAGAGGGAACAACTTTCTTGAGAAAAATAACCTTCAATTTTCCATAAACTTCCAAAACTTGTGTTTTTAATGAGTAGCCACATATTATAAAGAGAAATACTTTCTAAAAGACCTAATAGATTCACATTTAGTTCAGCCCAACATAATCCTAATTGAGACATTTAAAATAAAAGACTTAATGGACTCATGTTTAGTTTAGTCCAATTCAAGCCTATTTAAAACAATTAAAATCACCCTAAGCATACTTAATAAACTATATGGCCAGAAAGGCTCAAATACAAGGACAAATAAAGAAAAACTAATTAAATAAGCCCAAAGCTTAATTAAGAAGGCCCTAAAAGGCTAAAACATCACTTTCTTCAATATGAATCAAGTGAATCAACTTGGGCTCCATTCTTTTCACATCTTGACTTGACTTAATCGAACCTGTCACTAATTGATTTAAGGCTTCCTTGACTCTTGGTTCTAGCCCTTCTCATTGGTTCACCAAATCCTTGCAATACATTCTTCACTTTATTTTCTTTCTTCTTAACTATGGTTCCTTCTTGGTTCACATCAATTGCCCTCCCAAGGATCATGTCAAGTTATGTGACTCCTTGAGTAGTCTATTTCCCTAGTGATGTTTCTGCCATTATTTGTTTCTATTGTTGGTTCATATTAAAACTAATTAGTAACTATTTGATATGTTTTTTTTTTTTTTTTTTTCAGGTTTAACAATTCAAGCTAATATGTATTATAAGATGCTTATTAGTTGGACAAGCCAGAAGATTAAGGATACATACTCTAATCATAATGCTTTCGATTTTAAGAATGGTAATTTTAATTTTTTCTTAAAAACTTTTAAATTCCATCTTCCATCATTATGCATCATTATATGCTCTCAATCTGTGTATGAAGTTCTTTTTATTCTTGTAATATTTACTACAATTATGTCAGCTGTGAAACAGAGGCTTGATGTTGGAGCATTCCTACAGTTAGATTATTTTTCTTTATATTCAATAGTTATCACAGTTTGCTAAATAACTAAGGAATTCTAAAATTAAAAACATAAATTTATAGACAGTACAAAAGTGAGGCTTGGGGATGATTGAGTTCTAGTGATTAGAAAGCTGGGTAAGAGGGGATGTTTATAAAGAGTTCAAATATTGTGGAATAATGGTGGGCTCTTAATGGCTAAGCTAAGGTGTTCACAAATTTTTTAATTTTATGGTGAGATGGTTTTTCAATGTTTCAATATATATGACAAAATGGTAGTGTGTCCTCAAATTTTGATGAACAAGATGGAGAAAATTTTCTGTCCTTTGTTAACTTAGGCCTAGATCTTCCATCTCTAATAAAGCTTGTATTGAGGTTTCCAGGTTTGATGGTAAAAGTTGGAAGAAATAAAAAAATCCTAATTGAGGATATCATGTGTAAATATGTAAAATTGAGCCAATGTGTTCTGTATTAGATTTATTTCTTAAATAAAAGAACTTAATCAAATATATCCATATTGAAAATTTCATGTGAATTTTGTATTGAGGTTTCCAGGTTTGATGGTAAAAGTTGGAAGAAATAAAAACTAGAAGAGGATCAAGAGTATCATGTGTAAATATGTAAAATTGAGCCAATGTGTTCTGTATTAGATTTATTTCTTAAATAAAAGAACCTAATCAAATATATCCATATTGAAAATTTCATGTGAATTTTGTAGAATATTTTGTTGTGTGGATGTGTGTCAACTGATGAGTTCCATGCTTCACTCATCTGGTTTGGATGTTACAGTTCACCAATTTGAAAGGTCTATGATAGATGCTCCTGGTCCTTGTGTTCTTTTTGCCACACCTGGGATGATAACTGGTGGATTTTCACTTGAAGCTTTTAAGCACTGGGCACCTTCAGAAAATAACCTTGTTACTTTGCCTGGGTATATCCTTATTTCTTTATTCCTGCTTTTTTGTTACATTGCATCTCTCTTTACATCCTTTCTCTTTACATTGGCCATTTGATAGCATGATGATGAGCAAAATGCTGAGAAATGCTTCCCACAATTAGTATGTCACATTGAAAAGTGTATGGATATCAAACTTTTTTAATGCTGTCATTTAAAGTTATGTATATCACTTTTAGTTTAAACTTGAAACTAAATAAATTTGGACATTTTTCTCTCTTGGATAAAGTTTAGGATTAATATACTGGAGGTAGCACAACACATATCAATATTTAATAGTCCTATCGATTAGGAAGTGACTGACTTGCATATTTTGTGGGAGGAAAGAAAATTTGAATGTAATTGATTGTTTTAGATGTCTATGAGTTTGAGATTGCATTTTTGAATGATGGAGATGATTCACATGATTGTTTTGGATTTTAGGTTCATGATTTTAGGCTCATCCATGCATAAATCCAATCAATCCATCCAATTATAAAAATAAAAATTAATAAATTCGAAGGATTGGATCACCAATTATTATTGGATGGTTAATGCACTAAGATATTAAGTAATCCATTAGGTCAAGGTTCATTGGCTGGTCATGAATCTCAAAGTAGGGGTGTGCATGAATTGGATTTGTACTAAACCAATCTAAATCCATTTTAAATCCAATTATATGGATTGAATTTTAAACCAATCTATTTTATTTTTTCCAAAACTAGTTTAAAACTGGTTTTAAATTTGAATTTAGTTTAAAAATGGTTTAAATATTTTTTATGCTATTATTGAATTAGAAGCAGGATCTTCTTACACTAATGTAAGTCTAAAAACTCTTACATCAAATCTGAACTGTTCATTTAACTTTCATCTAACGGGTTATAATTTATTACTTTACTAGCTGTTAGATGTAAGTTAAATAAAAAGTTCAGATTAAGTGTAAGAGTTTTTAAACTTACATTTGTATAAGAAGATCTTTCTCTATTGAATTATTATATTAAAAAATAATTAAATTTATAATAATTAATATAATTATATTTAAATATATTTTAATCAGTTAATAATATAATTTTTTTATATTTATATTGTATTAAAATTAAATTCATATTTTCTATTTTGCATCGTCTATCCATCACACAAACTAAACAGTAAATAAACTGTTGTTCTAATTAAGCTGTATGAAAAATGTTAGAAATATAACTTCTACTTATTTTTTAAAATTATCTTAGTCTTCCTTTTTATTTAGTCTTACCTGTGATGAAATTAGACCGTGATCCTGAATGGAGAATGTATTTGGAACACTATTTTAATGATAAAATTGTATTAACAAATATTTGAATGGTATTATTAAAAAATGTTATTATATCTTATAATTATTGAATGTGTATTAAAGTGTGGTTACTGTTTTTTTATTTGATTTTTCAAGTTTTCCTTCTTATGTCAATTGTGTAATACTTTTTGGAGAAAAAGACATACATTTATTATTTAATAAAATCAAATTTTTAAAAACATTTTTTATCTGGCGTAATGTCAAATAAATTACTATCATGATAATAGAATATTATGTAAACTATTTTGTTTATTTTTAAAATTTTCTATCTCTTCTATTTATTTTAATATTTTTTTATTAATTTATAAAACAATATATATATATTTTATCTAAATCATATGTATCTTTCACTAAAATCATGTTCAGGTGTCACATTATATTTATTGGAATTCAAACTCGATATCACAAAATCATATCTATTACTTTAAAATATAAAAATATTTAATATTTTAATTAGTAATTAAAAAAAAAAAAGACAAAGATCTAAAATTATTTATTATAATGATTTAAATATTATTTTAATCTTCGTACATTTTTTATTTTTAATTTATTATTTATATAAAAATTGTAAATAAAACATAAAAAGATTATTTTTAAAATAGTCCTTCCTATTAATTTTTGCAGTTATATTATTATCTTATACTTTAAAAAAATCCATATATATATATATATATATATATATATATGTATATAAGGCATTTTAAGTGAGAGGAATTTGTATTATGAAAGATGAAAGGTATTAATAATGGCCATTGGATCAAATAATTGGCAAGAGAGAGAAAAAAGTGGCCATTATTAATGTCTCTCACATCTTATAATAACAAACTCCTCTCACTTTATATATATATATTATTGATATTATAGAAATTTTGTATTGAGAATAAAATAATAATTAAATTAATTTAATTTAAATTGGCCTCTATAGCATGAGGCTAGCCACGAAACCCCAGGAATCAGATAATGCAAAGATTACAGAGGATGGACTAAAACCGGTTTTGATAAAAGTAAATTTAGTTTTGTAAAATGAAATCCAAATCATGTCTGGACCAAAAATAAAGTGGATTGGGTATCTTTTTTTTTTTTTAAATCTGGATTTTTTAATTCAGTTTAGCTTGGGTTATAGATTGGACCTCTGTATGCAGAATTTTTGCCCACCCCTATCTCAAAGGGATGAGTCCAGGTGGGGTTTTAGAGTTGAGTTGGGAATCAGAATGTGCCTTATTATAGCCTGCTTTCTGCAACTCCTCAAACCAGTATGTAGAGAGATAAAGAGTGAGTGAACTGGAATTGGATATTCTACAATGTATACAGACCCTTGTATATATATATATATGAATAGAGATGTACATAGAAAACCCTAATGGGCCAGGTCCATTATGACTACCCATAAGAGTATAACATAATCCTAATACAACTACTCTTAATACTTTCTCAAGTTGGAGCATATAGATATTAATCATGCTCAGCTTTTTACAAATGAAATCACTATGTATCCCGTTCAATGCCTTTGTAAACACATTTGCCAGTTAATCACTTGTCTTAACATGGGAGATAGATAAAGATTCTTCTGAACCTTCTCTCAAATGAAGTGACAATCCACTTCAATATGCTTTGTCCTTTCATGAAAAATAACTAACTTGTAAAATGCAACCAAGGTTAGTCTATATATAAAACACTGTATGATCACTCACTCACTAATCCAAATTCCAAAATCACATCACTAAATCTCCCAAACTATGCTCAAGGTGATTGTTTCAAGTCATACAAAGACTTTAATAGGCACACCTTCCCATACTCCCCTTGAGCAACAATCCCAGGTGGTTGCTTCATGTATACCTCCTATAAAAATGCTTTTTTCACATCAAGTTGGTATTGTAGTCAATGATGCTTGGCAACCAAAGAGATAAAGATACGGGACAAATGATAGCATAGCAACAGGAGAAAAAGTATCAATGTAGTCAACTCCATATGTTTGGACATAACATTTTGCAACAAGACATGCCTTCAGGTGAGCACAAAACCATTATCATGATTCACCTTCACAGCATAAACCCACTTAAACCAATAGCCTACTTTAGGAAGAGAAACCAAATCTTAAGTAACTTTCGTCTCAAGAGCCATTATTTCTCCTCCATAGCATGTCTCCATCTGTCATGATTTAATGTATCTGAAAGGATCTTAGGAAATGAAATAGAACTGACACCAATGACCAGCCACAAAATATTTAGAAGTAGGAGACAAATGGGCAGCAGACACATTAGAAGAAATAAAATAGGAGCAAGTTTGCATACCTTTGTAGACAACTATAGGAAGATCAAGGTCAATGGAAAGATCAAGAGACACCTTAGGAGATAATGGTAGAAGTTGAGTATAATTTTGAGGAGCATCAGGTGAAGCATCATGCACTTGAAGATCATCATGAGAGGTTTGTCTGAGCTGCCGAGAGTATGTTCGCTTAAAAAATTTGAAACTTGTGTCACTAAGATCTGGAGTAGTTGCAAGTGCAGCTACAAGAGCAGAGTAAAATGTAGTATAAGTCGAAAAAGAATCATCTAACTCACACACTGACTCCGACGACAGAGACCTGAAAAATGAAATCCCTTATGTTGAATTTGGGCTTTAAACATGTCAATATGAGACTTCAACGCACACCCTCAGCTCAAGATTGGATATCTAGAATGTGGAAATTGTAGGACTATTTTTTTGTTTAAATATAGCACTACATAAGTCGTGGGACCAGGTAGAGGTAGCACTAGGAAAACCACGTGACCAAGTAAGTTGCACTGGGAAATCCACTGGGCCAAGTTAATTGCATTGAAAATGTTTGTGGGGCTATATATTTTTTTCAGTCAAAGGTGACCCAATATTGGATCTACGATAGACTCTGATACCATATTAGGAAACTTGGGTCTAATTCACTCTCAAAACTATCTCATAGGAGGATTACCCAAGCCCTTATAAGGTGTATGAAAGCTCTATTATTACTCAATGTGGACATCTTAAAACCCCCTCCTCCTTATGCCCAGGATTGGACATCTAGTGTGTGAAGTTTGTAGGACTAGACATGTGCAAGTGGCCCAATAGGTTAGACATTTGTGGGCACCCAACATTCAAACTAGATAAGCTCTGATACTATGTTGAATTTGGATTTTAAGCCTAACTCAACCCCAAAAATTAGCTCGTAAGGTGAGGATTTCTTTAGCCTTTATAAGCTCTTATTTACCCATATCCATAGCTGATGTGGGACTTCAACATCTTCAAAGAAAGACACCATAAGAAACAAAATACTAACCAAGGTTACGAGAAAAACAAAGTTACCCTTTTTGAGTATGACTAACCCAAGAACACACATTTCAATGACTTTGGATCTAGTTTAATTACTTGTCAAACATCATAGACAAAACAAGTGCAACCAAATATTTTGGCGGATAAGGGAAAAAGTGAATGTGAGGACCAAAAATAGAGTGAGGGGGATAGTACCATTTAAAATCAGATGATGATATGTGATTAATTAAATATGCAATAGTAAGAACAATATTAGCTTAAAAGATTTTCAATATTTTCATTTCAAATGATTAAAATGCCACCTCCATCAAATGGCAATTTTTACGCTATGCTACTCCATTCAGTTGTAAGGTAACAATACAGGAGGATTGATGAATCATGC